TATATATATATATATATATATATATATATAAAATAAGTAGATAAACGTATGAATATATAGGTAATTGTTAATAATACATCATTATTTCCTCAATAATAATAATAAATAAATAAATAAATAAAATAAATAAATAAAATAAATTAATCAACTTCTTCTACAGTAGGTCCAGCACCTGGTGCTGCAGCAGCACCGGACATATCTGGCATACCTCCTGGCATACCAGGAGCAGCACCTGGCATACCTCCTGCAGCCCCTGCAGCAGCTTGATACATTTTAGTAACAATAGGTGTACATACACCTTCAATCTCCTTTAATTTAGATTCATATTCTTCTTTCTCTGCTAATTGATTCTTATCTAGCCAATCAAGAGTTTTCTGTATAGCAGCAGCAGCAGTATCCTTATCTTCCTTACTAATTTTATCCTTAACCTTTTCCTCATCAAGTGTACTCCTCATACTATAACAATAATTCTCTAGATTATTTTTTGCCTCTATCCTTTGTTTATTAGCCTCATCCTCTGCCTTATACTTTTCTGCCTCAGCAACCATTCTATCTATTTCCCCCTGACTAAGTCTACCCTTATCATTAGTAATAGTTATTTGGTTACTTTTTCCTGTATTTTTCTCTGTAGCAGTAACATTCATAATACCATTGGCATCTATATCAAAGGTAACCTCTATTTGTGGTACTCCTCTAGGTGCAGGAGGTATACCATCTAGATGGAACTTTCCTAGTAAATTATTATCCTTAGTCATTGCCCTCTCCCCCTCATACACCTGAATAAGTACACCTGGCTGATTATCTGCATATGTTGTGAATATTTGCGATTTTTTTGTTGGTATTGTTGTATTCCTCTCTATTAATTTTGTCATTACTCCTCCTGCTGTCTCTAGTCCTAATGATAAAGGAGCAACATCTAATAATAATAAATCTTGTACTTGTGTACTATTTACTCCTTTTAGTATAGCTGCCTGTACAGCTGCACCATAAGCAACAGCCTCATCAGGATTAATAGATCTACATGGTTCCTTACCATTAAAGAATTCTTGTATAAGTTGTTGTATCTTGGGTATTCTTGTGCTCCCTCCTACCAGTACTACCTCATGTACACTCCTCTTATCTATATTACTATCTTTTAGTACTTTTTCTACGGGTATAAGAGAGTTACGGAAATAATCCATACATAATTCCTCGAATCTAGCCCTAGATAAGGAGACAGAGTAATCAATACCCTCATATAAACTATCAATCTCTATAGTAGCTTGTGTACTACTACTTAGTGTCCTCTTTGCTCTCTCGCACTGTGTACGTAGTCTCCTTAATGCCCTACTATTATTACTTGGATCCTTGGATCTATTCTTTCTCTTAAAATCTTGTATACAAAAATCTACTAATCTATTATCAAAGTCTTCTCCCCCTAGATGTGTATCTCCTGCTGTAGCCTTGACCTCAAAGATGCCATCCTCTATAGTAAGCAAGGAGACATCAAAGGTCCCTCCCCCCATATCAAAGATAAGAACATTCATCTCTCCTTGTCCCTTCTTATCCAACCCATAGGCTATTGCTGCTGCTGTTGGCTCATTTATTATACGTAATACATTTAATCCTGCTATAGTACCTGCATCTTTTGTTGCCTGTCTCTGTGAATCATTAAAGTATGCAGGTACTGTTATTACTGCTTCTTTTATTTCTTTACCTATAAATTGTTCAGCAATCTCCTTCATCTTCATTAATACCATGGCACTTATCTCCTCAGGATGAAATGTTTTCTTTATTCCTTGGTAATTTACTTCTATTAATGGTTTACCTCCTGGTCCTCCCTTAACAATAAATGGCCAATGCTTCATGTCTGCCTGTACAGCTGGATCGTCATACTTCCTACCTATCAACCTTTTTGCATCAAATACTGTATTCTCTGGATTCCTTGCTACCTGATTCTTTGCTGCATCCCCTACTAATCTCTCTGTATCCGTAAATGCTACATAAGAAGGGGTTGTACGATTACCTTGATCATTTGCTATTATCTCTACACCATCATTCTTCCATACACCTACACATGAATATGTTGTACCCAAATCTATACCTACTGCTGGTGCCTCAGACATCTTCTCTTATTATTTATTATTATTTATATTATTTATATTATTTATATTATTTATTCTCTCTATCCTCTTCTTATTTATTTATTTATTTATCTATTTATATATATATATATACCACACAACAAACCCCACCCTATATATAATCCTTCCTTATAATTAATAATATATCTTCTTGTTGTGTATATATATTATACACACAACAACAGGAAAAAACAAGAAAAAGAATATTATTATATTATATTTATATATATTATATTATATATATATATGATGCTCTTCTTGCTGCAATTTAATTAGATATATATATCTATATATATATCTATCTATGCCCACAGCACACACAACAAGAAGCAGCACACAAGAAGAAGAAGAATATGTTGGGTATATATTGCAGTAGAAGCAACAACTGCAACAAATAAGAAAGAGAAAAGAAAAAGAAAAAAGAAAATAAATTATATTTATATATTTTTATTTATAACACAATTTATATTTACTCTTCTTATTCAACAATAAACAAAACAAAATCACCACTTATACCTCACAGCACCTTCATGCACCTGCAAATATACACCTTGCCATCCTGCCCCGCAACTACCAGCAGGAGGGGAGGAGATATGCAGCAGCAGCAGCCTGCTGCTGCTGCTGCTGCTGCTGCTGCTGCTGCTGCTGCTGCTGCTGCTGCTGGTGCTGCTGGTGCTGCTGGTGCTGCTGGTGCTGCTGGTGCTGCTGGTGACTATATATATTGCATGAAATTAGAAAGAAATTTATTCTTCTTCTTATTACTTTACTATTTATATTATTGTATTCTTATTATCTTTTTATTATTTATCTAATTATTATCTATTTTTATTCATTTATTTATCTATTTTCTTATTTATTTATATCTATCTTCTATACATACACTACATCACCCCGCAACAGCGACGCGGGGCTTAATACACTCTATACCCCACTCATGTGGGCTCCTGCTTTCTATTCTTTTTAATGCTTTCTCTACTCTTTTTATACTTTTCTTAATATTTATTATGCACTTTTTAATTATTTATGTAAATATATACGCAAAGCAACATTATACCCACACATACATACCCAACACCATTACTCACTCCTCTCGCGCCCCACCCTCACTACTCTCACCCCTTATACACACCCCTCCCCCACTATCCTCCCCTCATCCATAGCTAACACATTGCAACCTACAGCAACAATACCTGTCTAGTCTATCTACACCTCCTTCAACAAGTTTAATTCTTATTTATTCTATAACTAATATATTGGTACTTACTATTCTACTGCGGTGCATGCAACAAACCTATAACCTCCCTTCTACTTCCGTGTGGGGCTGCATCCTCACACACGGCTTAACAGCGAGCAGCCATACACCCTACCTCTACTTCTTGTAAATATTACTCTTTTATTGGGTGCATGCGAATTAATTAGGAATTTATAGCTAATAAGTAGCTGTCTTGGTAGTTACGGCGATGGGACGTGTGGGGTTCCCCTGCTCCCGTCGATAGAGTTGCCTTCTAGGGGGGACCCAGTATACACATGCATAAACAGACAAATTCTGATCTGTTTTGCAGGGAAGAAGGCATTTATGTCTTGTTTAAGCAGAGACGAGGGAGCAGGAGTACTAGATTGACGTAGGTTTAGTATATTGGCTACACTATAGTTCCTCGTAGTTGTCTCGCGAGGTAGAGACGAGTTGTCGTCTTGCACAGATGTGAATCGCTTGTTGCTTTTAAGGCATTCAAGCAAACAGCTAACGTCTCCATACGTTTACAGGCAACCTGAGGCCATCTGCCCCAATTCCTGCAATTGGTTATGGGGAGTGGGGGCCGATCTCCTTGCTAGGAGCTGCTGCATAAATTGATGAGACTACGGCTGTATGGCAGCCTAATGTTCAAGTGTAACTCAACAATTTTTGCTGCATGCGCACGCACGGTAGACGCTGTTTATGTACGTACTTAACACTCAACTAGAGGCCCGTGTACTATCTTCAATGACGCTCTCTGCTTTCCGTGCTCATTGCGTAGTCCTAACCGTATAAATATGCATTGAGTTGTAGCCATATAGAGTAACACAGCATAACACGAGGGAACCCCAGCCTCAAATCATTAACAGAATGAAGGTACTTTGGTCTGCAGCCTCGAGCTAGCTATGGACAGAAGAAAACATGGAGATTATAGGAAGGAAATAATGGGAACAGGACTGCACATACAGAGAGAGAGAGAAAGAACGAAACACCTCATTACAAGCAGCAAATAACAACAGAAACAGCTTGATTAAGCTTAGCTAAAATTCAGGCTGCGGAGAAGACGTAGATACCCAACATATTTTCATTACATAAGGAGAGGAGATTCGTATTAATGAGGAATTGTTCCATACAAGCGATAATGAGAAATCCATTCAGGTTGCCAGTATCCTGGCTAGTCAAAGAATTCTTTTTCTTAAATATCTTCGACTCGTCGTGTGAGGGTCGAATATTTTTTTTGTTTGCTTCCATTTCTTCCGTCTCGCTACAATTTGACCTCTGGCCTGTGGAGAGTGTTTGGGGGTAGGCTGATAATTCAGCTAGCCGTTCGAACAAATTCCCACGTCAGGTATAAATGGACTGTGTAGGCTAACGGGTTAACTGGCAAATTCTCGGCGAAGAGCTCTCAACATGGCAGGGACGGAGCCATCGACTAGCTGCTTCCTATGAACATCATGGGGAGCTACGAAAGCAGTTGCCTGGATTGAATATTTCTTGGTGTAGTTTATTGTCTGGCATTATTGTGTTGCTTTCGTGTGCTTCATATACATACAAGCTGTGTATGCAAGCACACACTTACTATCTTGCTTGAATACCTCTCAACCAACTACCCTATCATTGAGCTGGCTAACAATGTCTTGATGTAGACCAGGAGAGCTTGGTGCATTGTTGGGTTACAACCCCATTAGGCACACATTGAAGTATTCGGATTGTACGCCTAGTAAGAAGAAGAGACTTTTTATATAAATATTTTCTACACAGTAGCAATCAGTGTCATGTCCAGTGGTTGGTAACCAGTGTGGGGCAAGTCAACAATGGCAAAGAACATAGTTATCCAACAAAAAGCAATTAATTACATTATATATATTGTTATTAACTAAATAAAATATATTTAGTGTACTATTACCATTAATATAAATACCTAATAATTAAATAATGTAGAGTTGCACGGAGTGGGGTTCGAACCCACGCGATCTTCCGATCAGGGGAACTTAAGTCCACCCCCTTAACCACTCGGGCATCCGTGCTGAATGAATGGACAATTCCCCCATATAAAAAAGTAACATATTTTTTTTTTCTTAAGAAAAAAATACAAGTCTTACCTATTTAACGTTTTTTTTATACTGTTTGCATGCATTCGCCGCCATCCTTTTGTCCTCCTTAGACTGCTATGGTATCCTTGATGGATATTTTCTTCTTTTATAGAGGTACCTTTACTCTTTCGCCTCCTTCGCTCTGTGCATGCAGCGGCTTCTGCGGCATATTTGGGGCTGCAGAGAGACGCCTAGTGGGGATAACGCATGCAACACCTTATTAACAAGATTAACACACCTTATACAAGATAAGGACAATTAGTAACAATGTACCTGACGGGCAATGGGTAAGAAGAATGTATACAATAATAGTCCTATTGCCCTTGACTATAAAATAGTAATATAAGAGGAAAGGAAGCAACTGTATATTTATTGAATAACTTTTCTTTTTTTGTTTATTTTTTTCTTCTTCTCTAAGTGCCACCAATGCAGCAAATAGAGCATATGTATAATATATATATACTGTATACAGTATATATACAATATAAAATAAATATAGTATATATATTACATTCATTATATATAATATATATTATATATAATATATATACTATATATATTAATATATAAATATATTCATAAATTGTTCCTCTTTTATCTCCGTCTGCCCCCTCGCTGTCTAAGGAAGATAGCCATGTGCGAAGCCCTAAACCCTAAACCCTAAACCCTAAACCCTAAACCCTAAACTCTAAACCCTTGACAATAAACCCTAAACCCTAAACCCTAGTTTCCTAACTAAGTTGCCTGTCAACCACCGCTCTATCCCAACCCCCCACAAAAAAAGTATCCTAAAGATAACCTATATTTAGGGTTTAGGGTTTAGGGTTTAGGGTTTACGAGTTACTGTAACTGCAAGGGTCCCTTAGATAAGGGGAGCCCTACCGCTCCCTCCGCATGCATAAAATGTGCGGTTCTGGATACGGTGTATAGACAATTTATAATAAGACTACCGTGCTGCTTCTAACAGCAGCAGCAGCAGCAGCAGCAGTTGCTGCTGCTGCTGTTGCTGCTGCTGCTGCTGCAGCCGCGGAGAGCAGCAGGAGCACGGGCAGCCATGGATGCGCTACAACAAGAAGTCTTTAAAGCCATCGACCTCATTATTTTTTGCTGCTGCTGCACCTGCTGCCGCTTCTGCTCCACTTTGCTGCTGCTGCTGCTGCTGTTGCTGCTGCTGCTGCTGCTGTTGCTGCTGCTGCTGCTGCAGTGATTGCCCTGTGCCACTTTGCTGCGAGGGAAAGTGGACCGACTGGGTCAAGTCTAAGAGTCCCCAATCCGGGGCCTGCTGCTGCTGCTGCTGTTGCTGTTGCTGTTGCTGCTGCTGCTGGACGCTGAAGTTGCTTAGGAGGAGATCTAGCTCATCTAGTGCTGCATTGCCTGCATTTTGTCTTGCACTGCATGCAGCAGCAGCTTGCTGCTGTGGGGCTGGACATGAAGTGACAGCTGCTGCTGCAGGAGACAGGGAGAAGTCCCTAGGGGAGGCAAAGGGACTAAGTAGATTTGCTTCTGAAGCATGGTAGTGTGGTGCTGCTGCTGCTGCTGCTGCAGCAGCAGCAGGGGTAGCAGCAGCAGCAGCAGGAGAGACACAAGGATCTTCGCTCAATAGATCAACCTCTGTTAGCTGCTGCAGCAAAGGAGACTGCTGTTTCTCAGGTGTCTCCGCAGGTTGGCACAGCTGCTGCTGCGCACTAAAGCCCCCTTCATATTCATCCCTATCTGCTGCAGCAGCAGCAGCAGCAGCTGCTGCTGCTGCTGCTGTGTCTGTATACTCTGGAGGCAAGAAGGCGGTTACCTCCCCACCAAGACCACTACCATCCCCACCGCCTGGCAGCAGCAGATCATCACCCCACAGCCTGCTGCTGCTGCTGCTGCTGCTGCTGCTGCTGCGTCGTAGAGGTGTGGGGCCCCCTAAGACTAACTCATAAGGAAGGAAGACATCAAAGACAGCAGAGACAGGTTTATGATCAGAGGAGAAGTAACGTTGATGGTGTGTATAAGATAAACAATGTACAGGATAATCCTTCTTATTGTTGTTGTTGTTGTTGTTGCTGCTGCTGCTGCTGCTGCTGCTGCTATAGCCTTCGTTGTTAGGTTCAGCTGGAGGTACTAAACGTCCACCAAATAACACTCGATCGCACCTACGCACCCACCAAACCCTAAACCCTAAACCCTAAACCCTAAACCTCCCTATAAACCCTAGAAGTAATGTATCTGTGGTAATGCCTCTGTTGCTTCGTTAGTTAAGGGTTTATAAAGTTAAGGGTTTAGGCTTAATTAAGAAAATAAGGAATTAGGGTTTAGGGTTAATTAAGACAATAAGAAATTAGGGTTTAGGGTTTAGGGTTTAGGGTTTAGGGTTTATACCATGCTGGTGTCCTTTTTAGGTCATAGAATTGACTATTACGTTTATATTTATAAGTAGGACGGAAGGTAATTGGTGCCTCTCTTAATAAAGAAAAAGGAGACACTTTATAGCGTTGGTATTGACGTAAGTTGTCACTCCTGTAGCAACAGCAGCAACAGCAGCAGCAGCAACAGCAGCAGCAGCAGCAGCAGCAGTAGCACACAGATACTCCAGCAGCAGCAGCAGCAAGCAACAAAGCCATAAAGGCACGCGACACACAACAAATGCTACAGGAGTTATGCATATAGACATAAAAAAAAAAAAGAACCTATGCAAATATATATACAATTATTATACATGTATATATAGGTAATATAATAAATAATAAGAATAAATGAGAAAAAGAAAGAAAAAGAAGAAGAAAAAAAGAAAAAAAAAAAAAAAAAAAAAAAAAAAAAA